AGCAGAGAGATAATATGAGTTAAATATGTTAAAATTATTAGACACTTTATTATATTTAAATAAAACATTTTCTTCCTTTCAATCTTAAAACATATTTTACTTTCTCAGAACTTCATTTTAGGTTCATTCTGGGCCAACTCCCAGTCTAATGCAGATAAAAATATATGAGTTATTGGTAGGTTCCTTAAACTGGGGTGGAATAGAAGAAATGCTGAAAATTCCTTATTACAGATGCCAGTAGAATGAAGTGCCTTACCTCTAGCAAATGCTGATGTGCAGATTTAAGACTATATGAGAAATCAGAAAAGTTGCCCAGGAGAGTTTTATCATATTATTCATTGAACTCAGTCTGTGATACAGTAATTGCTTCTGGTATCATTTTTCTTTTTTCTTACATGAGGTTATTATTTATCCCTGTGCTGTGTGAAACAGAGAAAGGGAGTTTAAAGCAGAGTCATAACTTGATGTAAAACTATCTTGTGACACAGTGTAGCTAGAGATAGGAATCACAGCTGGAAAACTGTGTCTTACTTATCAGAATTAAATATGAGAAAAGTAAAGTAATACTTGACATGCTAGAGATTCATAAATACTAAAAAGATACACTCGGCCATGTATATTTTTCTCCCGGGAAGTTCAAAGCTATTTAAAACATATGTTTAAATTGGATTTTTTTTTAGCCTCACAGGGATCAAAAATGTATTTGCTTATATCAGAAGTTTTCTTGTTTGGTTATAGATGAAGAAGATCAAATTAATAGGCAGGATGGCTAGTAGGAAAGTTGGGTTAAAAAGATTTAAATACCATAATAATTGGGACTATTTTGCTATGTTTTTATTCCTTACACACATTCATATTCCTTATATACCTCACACAGTTTTAGAAACCCTTAACTTCCATTGTATTATTTCCACTGTTAAGTCATTTTGTGTGAAAAATATGCAATACACATTTTTGAAAAAAAAATAGAGACAATGAGATTTGATAATATGAACAGGAACATTTTGTTTAGATATTCATTTTTGTTAACTAATTCTGCTGGGCTTAATATGAGCGAATTTCAGAAATTTTAACAGTACCTCCATTTAAAAAAGATATGTTCTAATTTAGAAAAGCGATCATTTGTTATACAGAAAATGAATTTTCTGAATTACATATTGACTTCTTATTCACTTCTACAATGTTTTCTTGATTATGTTGTTCAAACAGTAATACCATTTTGTATACATTATAGCCCAGTACCTAATCCCAGTTGATTAAAAATACCATAAAACCATACAACATATATTCAGTTATATAATGAGGAATGTAAAAATTTTCATTCATGTGAAGTTTGGAAATTATCACTGAAATACATTTAATGGAGGAAGCACAGTATGGTGGTAGGTGGTCCAGCAGTTCAAATACTTGGGTTATAGGCAGGCAGTTAACCATATGCAAGGGGAAAAAAAAGATACTTAGCACTAACACTAGTCAGTTTCTCATCACTGTGACCAAAACACCTGACAAGAACAACTTAGAGGAGGAAAAGTTTATATTGACTCATGATCTCAGAGGTCTCAGCCCATGGTCAACTGATTCTATTACTCTGGGCCTAAGACTCAGGCAGTGTGTCACAGTGAAAGGGTGTGGTAAAGGAAAATAGCTCAGCTCATGGCAGCTGGGAGTCAGAGACAGTGAGAGGGATAGAAGTCTCATCAGGGATAAAATATAAACCCCATAGGTGTAACATCAGTGACTTGATTCCTCCAGCCCTAATGTACCTGCCTCTGGTTATCACCCAATATGACAGTCCTTTGAAATGATTAATCTCTGAAGCAGATGAATCTACAAATTAGGTTATGGCTGTCATAATCTAATCACTTTATCTCCTGTATTAACATGGAGCTTTTGGAGTACACCTCCTATCTAAACCACAATAGCTCCTTTTCTTTCATTTTTTTTGTCATCTGTAAAATGAAGATAGTAATATTATTGGTTTTAAATAGCTGTTATGAAGAATAAATGAATTAAAGTGAAGCACTTAATCTGGCACACAGTAAGTACTTGAAAAATGATAGTGCTATTGCTTAGTGCCTGGAGCTTAACAACTTGTCAATCTTTGTGCCTTTTAAAATTTTAAAAACCCATCTATTTATTTATAAATAATAAAACCAAAACCAAAGTATGAAGTAAGCATTTAATCGACTATGCCTATGTGCTTCGTTTGATTGGCAGTCCACCAATCTGGTATCCTTAGACTTTCCCCTCTTCTGCAGGGGGATATGTTGTTTTCTCAGGTCTTTAATTTTCTTCCTATGGTTTAGGGACCTGAGGATAGATGACACTACCAAGCCTGAACCTAGCAAGGGCCTATAATTGTCTCACAAATTTTGCCTTCAAATGGAGGTTTCCTTGCCTTCCCCAATTGACCATAGTAATTTATTGCCCTTCACTTTACTTCATTTTATTTGTGGTTTATTTGGTGCTTTTGATGTAAAGTTAACCATTATTTTGCTGGATAAATTGTTCAAGTTTAGTTCAGAAGAAATGTGTGTAAATTACTCTCACTATTCAATGTGGTAAGTGTTATGGTAAAAGAATTTAAAAAATTGTTGGGGAGTTCCAGAAAAAGAGACACTTGATTTTGCCTGCAATGTGAATACCCATTACAAGAGTGCTGCTTGCTTCTTTTCTTTCCAACACAACAAGGACATTTAAAGTGTGATGTACAGAAATGTGTACTCTAACTTACAGAACTAGGAGGCCAGGAAAATTAGAAAGGAAAATTAGAAAGGTAAATGTACATTAATAATCCCTGGGGTCAAAAGACACTACATCTTGTCATATTTGTAATATTCTGTGTATTACTAAGAAATAAATTTCATATGTGGTCACATGCTACATAAAACTCAGACTTGATTCTAACAGTCTTTTCACCTTATATTAAGCCTAAATATCTAGCTTTGAATGCAGTTATGTTTGTGATTCTTATGTGTTTGACATAATTCCATATAAGAATCTTGCATGTATGGTTGCCTCCCAAATGAATTGATGGTGTTCAAAGCAACATAGAATAGTTGGAAAACTATGTATCAAGAGTTTTAAAAAAAATGTAGATTCAAATCTCTTTATCTCTTCTTAGCTGTTCACCTCTTCATAGCTACGAGTTGAGAAATTTATTTCATCTCTCTAATCATTTAAATGACCACAAAATAGTCCTAGTAAAACTGTTTTCAAACATAGCATCCTAGGTCATTAGGGAATTACAATTAGAATAAAGAGATGTTTCATATACCATTAATAATGCCCCAAATCCATAACATTTACATTAACAAATGTTTTGAAAATATGGAGCAATAAGAACTCTCCTTCATCACCGGTGGGAGTTCAAAATGACACAGCCACTTTGGAACAGTTTGGTAGGTTCTTGCAAAACTAAATATACTCTTAACATATGATCCAGCAATCATGCCCTTTGGTGTTTACCCAGAAGAACTGAAAATTCATTTCTACATAAAAACCAGAACACTTGGGTATGTAAAGCAGCTTTATGTATGTTTGCCAAAACTCAAAAGCAACCATTTTTTTTCTTTAGTAGGTCAGTGGACAAATAAACTATAGTATGTCTAAATAATGTTATATTATTCCACACTAAAAAGAAATGAGCTATTAAGCCATGAAAGGACATTGAGGAATCATAATGCATATTATCAAGTGAAATACACTCATTTGAAAGGCTACATACTATATGATTCCATCTATTTGACATTCTGAAAAAGGCAACACTCTGGAGGTATTAAAAAGATTCATGATTTACAGGAGCCAGAGGGGAGAGAATAATGAATTGAGCAGAGCTCTATCACAGTCAGCTATACCATGTTCCATGTGCCCACATTAGGTAAACTTAAAAATTTTTATAGGGCCTATTTTGTTATAGACTCATGGACTTAATTTTCATTCTCATGTGTTCAGCTCCCTTATTTACTGGATGTGACATTAGTCAGAGTGATGGCTATTGTCTTCTTCTTGGAACTCTACAATGTCATACAAATCTCTTTTTACTTTCTGTTTCTTTGACCTGAAATGTATCTTTTTCAGAGTTTCTCAGGGCTAGACTCCATCTCCCATATTTTAGGTTTCATCTTATCTCTTGTGTCTTCAGAAAAGACTTCGAGTTATATTAATTTTGTGTCATCTTCACTTATCTTACCAAGTACCTTTCAGTTGTTCTCCATCTTGTTGACATATTTTATGTTTTTGCACCACTTAGCATCTAAAGTTACATGTCCTATTTGTTTGAGCATGTATTATGTTTCTTTCCCTCTATTGTAATATTCATTGTTCGGTGATTCCTCTTGTAGGAGAGGGGACTGGCTCTTTAAAGTGATTTTAGATGAATGCATCAGCATTTGATAAATATTAGGTTCTTTCTCTATATTTTAAAGTAACTACCGTTTTTTCCTCTTATAATTCAATGTAATAGTTGTAATAATTCATATTTTTAGGATATAATGTGATCATATATAAACACATATCACTCCAATTCCAAACATGGAGTATGCAATCAATTAGTCAATTAATTTTTTCATTCATTTCATCCATAGATATCATTGAAACAATATACTAGATATTGCTTAAGTGGCATAATTCAAATTGGGATATTGTAATCATGGTGAAATTATATATTATATACTCTATATCATGTATTACATGCCACATTATATTATTTGTTATTATTAATGCAATACACGGTATTAGATAATATATCATATTTTTATTATATACCTGTGGTGGGATTTTTATAACTAAACATTCTTTTGTGAAACACAAACATTCCCTAAACCATCCAAGTATCTCCATTCTTAATATTTCAAACTATATTAAATACAATTAGAAGCTTAAGTTGACAATCATCTTAAATTAATGCAAATTTTTCTATCTTCTAGTTAGAGCTGTCATTCTGATGCTAAATTTTATGATTAATTGATATTTCCTTCCTTCATATTCAATGTTTCCAGGAAGAACCTTATGTCCTGTTTAAGAAATCTGACAAACCTCTCTATGGGAATGACCGATTTGAGGGCTACTGCATTGATCTCCTCAGAGAGTTATCTACAATCCTTGGCTTTACATATGAGATTAGACTTGTGGAGGATGGGAAATATGGAGCCCAGGATGATGCCAATGGACAGTGGAATGGAATGGTTCGTGAACTAATTGATCATGTAAGTCCCTTTTCTTATTATTTATTACTTTGGGGAGATTGTTACAAGATTTGCTTATGAGTTAATATCTACAAATACCGATAATGTATTTCAAATTCATATTTTCATAAGTTTACTCAAAGTGAATATTATTTTTATCACTACAGATAAGGAATCTAAGAAGAATATTGGCCAAAATATGTATCTTAAATTAACTTGTATTTAATGGTATAATATCTTGAGATAATTGGTCTTGTAAATTGGGATGTGAATTCCCAACAATGAATATCTCCCTCATTTTTATTTATTTATTTATTTATATTGGTGCTGGGGATTGAACCCAGGATCTTGTGCTTGAGAGACAAACACTCTACCAACTGAGCTATACCCCCAGCTCCTCTCCCTCATTTTTGCAATGCTAACTTCCTAAGCAATAGAGAATGAATAATGTAAGCTCTTAAATTTATGCTAAAACTTTCCTGTGCTAGAATAGAGTACTTCTTATTTTTAGAACAAAGGTAAAACAATTATATGAAAAAGTACACACACACACACACACACATACACATACACATACACATATATGATGAACTGAATTATTTTTCAAAAATCATACTACTGTGCAGATTTCAGTATATATATATATATATATATATATATATATATATATATATATATATATATATATTTGGAGAGAGAGAGACGGAGAGAGAGAGAGAGAGAGAGAAACAGAGAAAAAGATACAGAGATTAGATTTTTGGTTAGCAGCCAAATATCAATTCGAATAAACCATTACCCACTTCTTTAAATCATTAGCATATCTTTAAATGATTTAGAATTTATATTTCAACTTGTGAATCCATTAGAAAATGAAGAATATTACACATGCCTTGGTGTACAAATGTAATCCCAAATATTTGAGAGCCTGAGAAGAAAGATCCCACGTTCATGAAAAGTCTGATCAAATTAGTGAGACACTGTCACAAAATAAAAATAAAAGGGCTGAGAATATAGGTTAGTTGTAAAGTTCACCTGGTTTTTAATCTCCAAGGAGGAAAAGGTAAGAAAAATCCGAGAGAGAGAGAGAGAGAGAGAGAGAGAGAGAGAATGCGCACAACTTAGAACCCAAAACCTTAAACATGGGGAGATTGATAAAATGGATGGACAGAGGCATATGGCACTCACTTATCACAAAAAAACAAAGCAACACATGGAGAGCTGCATACAGAGGTGAGTGACTCTGGGAACACTGAAATTCAATAGTAAAAATCTGGCACAACTGCACTGCAAGAGAAACAAATATACCATTACCTGCTGCATAAGGAGGGCAATCTACCCTCCATAGGGACAGAGGTGAAAGGGAAAATTACAAAACACTAAAGAGCAAATTGAAAGATGGAAATATATCCCATTTCCTGGATTGGAAAAATTTATATTTCCAAAATTTTCATACTACCCCATGTGATCTACAGATTCAGTGCAATCTTCCTCCAGATGTCAATGGTATTCTATATAGAACTAGAAAAAAGTCATACAGAAGCAAAGAAGACTCGGAATAGTGGAAGTAATCTTGAACCAAAAGAACAAAGCTGAAGACATTATAAAATCTTATTTCAAGGCAAACTACAGAGCTGTAGTATCAAAAACAGCTTTGTATTGCAACAACAACAACAACACAGACATGTAGACCAATGGAACAGCATAAAGATCCCAGAAATAAATCCATACATCTCAGCCAACTGATTCTCAACAAAGGTGCCAAAAACATATGAATTTCATGATTGCTTTCTCTATTTCTACAAGAAATGCCTTTGGGATTTTGATTGGCATTGCATTAAACCTATAGAGAACTTTTGGTAATATCGCCATTTTGATGATGTTAGTTCTGCCTATCCATGAACAGGGTATATTTTTCCATCTTCTAAGATCTTCTTCTATTTCTCTCTTTAGGGTTCTGTAGTTTTCATTGTATAAGTCTTTCACCTCTTTTGTTAGGTTGATTCCCAAGTATTTTATTTTTTTGAAGATATTGTGAATGGAGTGGTTGTCCTCATTTCCATTTCAGAGGATTTGTCGCTGATATACAGGAATGCCTTTGATTTATGCGTGTTGATTTTATATCCTGCCACTTTGCTGAATTCATTTATTAGCTCTAATAGTTTCTTTGTAGACCCTTTTGGGTCTGCTAGGTATAGAATCATATCATCTGCAAATAGTGATAATTTAAGTTCTTCTTTTCCTATTTTTATGCCTTTAATTTCTTTCGTCTGTCTAATTGCTGTGGCCAGTGTTTCGAGAACTATGTTGAACAGAAGTGGTGAGAGAGGGCATCCCTGTCTTGTTCCAGATTTTAGAGGGAATGCCTTCAATTTTTCTCCATTCAGAATGATGCTAGCCTGAGGCTTAGCATAGATTGCTTTTACAATATTGAGGTATGTTCCTGTTATCCCTAGTTCTTCTAGAGTTTTGAACATAAAGGGATGCTTTACTTTGTCGAATGCTTTTTCCGCATCTATCGAGATGATCATATGGTTCTTATTTTTAAGTCTATTGATGTGGTGAATAACATTTATTGATTTCTGTATATTGAACCAGCCTTGCATCCCAGGAATGAATCCTACTTGATCATGGTGCACAATTTTTTTTGATATGTTTTTGTATCCGATTCGCCAGAATTTTATTGAGGATTTTTGCATCTAGGTTCATTAGAGATATTGGTCTGAAGTTTTCTTTCTTTGAAGTGTCGTTGTCTGGTTTAGGTATCAGGGTGATGTTGGCCTCGTAGAATGAATTTGGAAGTTCTCCCTCTTTTTCTATTTCCTGAAGTAGCTTGATATGGAAAAATAAAAGACCCAGAATAGCAAAAACAATGCTAAGCAGGAAGTGTGAATCAGGCGGTATAGCGATACCAGACTTCAAACTATACTACAGAGCAATAGTAACAAAAACAGCATGGTACTGGTACCAAAACAGGCGGGTGGACCAATGGTACAGAATAGAGGACACAGAAACCAATCCACAAAACTACAACTATCTTATATTTGATAAAGGGGCTAAAAGCATGCAATGGAGGAAGGATAGCATCTTCAACAAATGGTGCTGGGAAAACTGGAAATCCATATGCAACAAAATGAAACTGAATCCCTTTCTCTCGCCATGCACAAAAGTGAATTCAAAATGGATCAAGGAGCTTGATATCAAATCAGAGACGCGCCGTCTGATAGAAGAAAAAGTTGGCTACGATCTACATACTGTGGGGTCGGGCTCCAAATTCCTCAATAGGACACCCATAGCACAAAAGTTAATAACTAGAATCAACAAATGGGACTTACTCAAACTAAAAAGTTTTTTCTCAGCCAAAGAAACAATAAGAGAGGTAAATAGGGAGCCTACATCCTGGGAACAAATCTTTACTCCTCACACTTCAGACAGAGCCCTAATATCCAGAGTATACAAAGAACTCCAAAAATTAGACAATAAGATAACTAACAACCCAATCAACAAATGGGCCAAGGACCTGAACAGACACTTTTCAGAGGAGGACATACAATCAATCAACAAGTACATGAAAAAATGCTCACCATCTCTAGCAGTCAGAGAAATGCAAATCAAAACCACCCTAAGATACCATCTCACTCCAGTAAGATTGGCAGCCATTATGAAGTCAAACAACAACAAGTGCTGGCGAGGATGTGGGGAAAAGGGTACACTTGTACATTGCTGGTGGGACTGCAAATTGGTGCAGCCAATTTGGAAAGCAGTATGGAGATTTCTTGGAAAGCTGGGAATGGAGCCACCATTTGACCCAGCTATTCCCCTTCTTGGTCTATTCCCTAAAGACCTAAAAAGAGCATGCTACAGGGACACTGCTACATCGATGTTCATAGCAGCTCAATTCACAATAGCAAGACTTTGGAACCAACCCAGATGCCCTTCAATAGACGAATGGATTAAAAAAATGTGGCATTTATACACAATGGAGTATTACTCTGCATTAAAAAATGACAAAATCATAGAATTTGCAGGGAAATGGATGGCACTAGAGCAGATTATGCTAAGTGAAGCTAGCCAATCCCTAAAAAGCAAATGCCAAATGTCTCCTTTGATATAAGGAGAGTAACTAAGAACAGAGTAGGGACGAAGAGCATGAGAAGAAGATTAACATTAAACAGAGATGAGAGGTGGGAGGGAAAGGGAGAGAAAAGGGAAATTGCATGGAAATGGAAGGAGACCCTCAGGGTTATACAAAAGAACATACAAGAGGAAATGAGGGGAAAGGGAAAAATAATACAAGGGGGAGAAATGAAGGTCAATAGAGGGGGTAGAGAGAAGAGGGGTGGGGAGGGGAGGGGAGGGGGGATAGTAGAGGATAGGAAAGGTAGCAGAACATGACAGTCACTAGTATGGCAATATGTAAATCAATGGATGTGTAATTGATGTGATTCTGCAATCTGTATATGGGCTAAAAATGGGAGTTCATAACCCACTTGAAGCAAAGTGTGAAAGATGATATATCAAGAACTATGTAATGTTTTGAACAACCAACAATAAAAAAAAATAAAAAAAAAATTAAAAAAAAAAAAAAAAGGTGCCAAAAACATACATTTCACAAAGGATAGCCTTTAACAAATGGCACTGCAAAAACTAGATATCTCTGTGGAGAAGATTGAAACTTGACTCTTATCTCTCACCCTGTACAAAAGTCAACTCAAAATGGATCAATGACCTTAATATAAGAGCTGAAACTCTGAAACTACCAGATGGTAGCAGAAGGAAAACATTTCAATGTATAAATACAGGCAAGAATTTTATTTTTCTGCATAGGACTTCTAAAGCATAGGGGAAAAAAGCAAAATTTGACAAATGAGATTACATCAAACTGAAAATCATCTGCACAACATAGGAAATAACAGAGGAAAAATACACCCTAGAGAACAACAACAACAAAATATTGCTCAACTATTCATCTGACAGAGGGTTAATATACAGAATATACAAAGAACTCAAAAACTCCATAACAAAAAAACAAGTAATAAATTAAAAATATAGGCAAATGATCTCAATAGACACTTCTAAAAGGGAAAAGTAGAAATGGCCAATAAATATATGGAAAATACTCCATATCATTACTCATTAGGAAAGTGCAAATCAAAACCTCATCTCACTCCAGTTACAATGGATATCATAAAATCCAACAACTCTGAAATTAAAAAAAAAATGCTGCTAAGAGTAAGGAGACAAAGGAACACTTATACACTGTGGGTTGTAATATAAATTAACATGGCCAGTGTAAAAACAGTGTTCAGTTTCCTGAAAAACTAAAAATGGAAGTACCATATGATCCAGCTATACCACTCCTGGATATATATCCAAAGGAAATGAAGTACATAT